CGTTGGAAGCTCTGTCTGACGTGTCTGCCTCCGCGACCCGAAAGGAGAAGCGGCGATGGAAGATGAAGATCAAGATATATCACCGAAGATGACGACTGTGTGAGGGGCCGAAACGCGTTGGTGAGTAGAAGAATTTTCGTCATCGTTTTTAAATTATTGCCTTGAACCATGCATCGAAATCATAGGACCATTACGAGTTTTTATGTTTAACAAACGACCCTAATTGATTTCACTAAACTTCACGCATTTTGTAATAACCGATATCACCGTGACCACCCCACACACTTAACGCAACTCATTACTGCTGTCAGGTTATTGTGACCGTTTCGAATATCCATCTCGTCCGGGAGTGGCGGGGCCATTTCGCACCGAAATACGGCTTTGTCACCTCGTAACTTGGGTTCCTGCTCAGAAATTTTTTTGTCACTGTACCAAGCATCGGGTGTCATTTCTATGAAACATCAAACTGAAACAGCAGCTAATGTCCGGAAGCGGATTGACAAACTTGTGAGCACGACCAGGAAATAACCATCGAGGCATGGAATAGGATTTGTCATTGGCAAACTCCTGAAGATTATAAATTACGTCTTCCATGAACAGGAACAGTATGATCGTGACTTGTTTGTGAGACTTTGTTAATTAAATAAAGTTCGTGCAACGGGGTTTGAAAAAAGAATCACATTATAAACAGAAAGTGTACTGATTCCATTTAACTTACCGCAGCGTTGAGCGATTCTTCCACTGAATGATCTCGGGAGAAGTTCAGATGCAGCTTGCTGCCCTGAACGGCTACGGGACTTTTCTGCGCGATGATTGCAGCCACTGACTTTGCCGCCTCCATCATTGTCTCTTTGTCTTCGAACACTTGACTGACCAAGCTCAATTTTACGGCTTCTTCCGCAGTCACCTTGCGAGCCGTGAAAACCAATTCTCGGAAAAGGCTGTCATTCCCTATCACCTTTGGCAGCTTTTGCAGGGCGCCTACGTCTGCCGTAATGCCCATATCTACTTCCTTAAAAAAAACAAAGCACTTCAAACTTCAAAATAGAAAAGCTATTTAACTTCAGTTTCTCACATAATGATAATCATAGTGACAGACCTGCTAAAGACTCTAGAAGATGCCAAACCAGCCAAACGTAACTGTGATCTCTGGACTAACCGATAATCAACTCCTTGTAATGCATGATCTTTTTGGAGTCTATGCAATAGGTACAAACACCAAATTTACCTTCACATTTGCAGCCAAGCATAAACCAGTGTTCTTGTAGGTAATTCACCACATAATTGTGAATCAGATATAGCCAGCATAACAGGTTCGTTACACCAGCTATCTCTAACCCCTGGCGATGGAAGAAGCTGGCGTTATTTACTGCAATAGTTACAGCTCCTCAGATACCAACGAGTATTCCATCTGCTGAAGTAAGCGGACAAACGGCACAGTTCAATGGGTCTATGGGTACGATACAGTATTCATGTTCCCATCACTGATCGCCTGCATATGAAATGACGCTTTTGCAGGATAGTTTAATAGAGATGAATCATCAGCGAACTAATAAGAACTTGGCTGATTTCCTCGAGAAGAAGCGACGGACCTCGTTGGCTACGGGAATGTTATATTAACTAACGGTTGTCCCTTGGTTTGTTCAACTGGATCTATTTCAAAGAAAAATTTCGAGTATCACTATCACAGAATATAGCACTCGAATAATGCGTTGGTGCTTATACTGAAGAAATGGCATAAATCATGGATCAATAAGACACTACGCAAAAGATACTAGGGTATATCCGGTGACTGGCCAATTCCTAAGTTTCATTACGTGTCTTACGGGTCTTCTTCAAGGCAGTTGGTTAGTATAATTTTGCAGCAGAGGTGCTTAAAGGAAGTATTAATTATCCATTCCTGCGAAAATGTCAGCCCTGACAAAAAATACAAACTGTGCGAGGTTTGAATTATCTCGTAGACCCGGTCACCCAGGAACTATTTCACGAACAGCACAAACTGAAAGCTTGCTTGCTGCCTCAGAAACCATCGACTGCTGCAGACAATCAAGAACATTCACAAAACTTCACCATTAACTTCTCATGAAGAAACCCCGTGAAACACGGACCGAAACTTTGATATTGATCAGGCACTGGACTGACAATATTTTTGCGTTGTGTTTAAGTAAACCATGTTTTACGCTACTTTAAAATATTCCATTCGTCATAAATGCTAATTAATTTCATGGCAAACAATAATTACCTTAATTTGGAAATAAGCATCGGCAGTACAGTAGCGAATGTCACTATAAGCTATCAGATCGACTCCACCACCAATACATCCGCCATGAATCGCAGCGATGATCGGCTTCAGGCACTATAATTGAAACAGTCAAAAATTTTGCATCATTCGATGACTGAATGCCATCAGATTATATATAAGTAAGAGTG